TTTGACCTCTTCACGCAGAGCAGTTTCAGATTCATCCACTTCTTCCATCCCAGATTCCAATGGTTTATCTGAAACCACTTTAAAATCTTGCTCATCTTGATTTTCGTGAAGGTTTTCACTTTGAGGAATTAAAGTGTTAAAGCTAATCTCAGGATGGCTTGTTGCTGTTGGGTTCTGGGCCTCAGGAAAATAAGCACGTGTAGACACTGTAAAAATGGAGCTGTCGTGTGGCACAGACAGAGAAACATCATGCTCGTTTCTTTGCAGTAATTCTTCAGGTCTTGTAGCCTCTGTTGCTGACATTTCTGTGGTTTCATCACCAATTGCATCTTCATCTTTAAATTCCTTATCACGCTGTCTTCCTTTATTCTTTTGAGTGCATCCCATTTTTCTTCTTTTCCCAATGGAGTCATAGACAGTATGGGTTTGCTCACTTGAAGTCACATTATTGCTTTCAAGTTGGGATTCCAAAATAGTATTTACTTCAGATGGTACAGTTTGTACTGAACCATTGCTCATATCAACATCACTGTCCTCATTTTCCTCAGGTAGAGTTTCTAAATGTCCTTCTTTTCTTTGATGCTCACTTTGTTTGTAATTATTTGACAGAGAATCATCAACAGTTTGCACCATGACTTGAGACTTGTTAGCATTGCTGATTTCAGTGGCTACCAACCGACTAACTGCTATGTCAGTGATCACTTGTTGCTTGGAATCATACATCTGATTATCCTCATTTTCGTCCTGTAAGCCCTCCGGATGTCTGTTATTTGTAGGATATGCATATTGTTTTTCATTAACATTTTCCTGCTCTGTGTGAAATACATTATTGTTTTTTACTTTCATGTCAGACGAGTGAGTATCCATCTCAGTTTGGTCTTCTGGTTTTTCAGAGCAAGTAACAGCATTTTCCGTGACATCAATACCCTGAATTTTAGAGGAGTACTGATTTTGGTACATGTCCTGTATTTCTATGGGCGTAATGTTCACTTCATGTATTTTATTCATAGCACTTTCTGATTGCCATGCTTCTCTAACTTCAGATAAGCTACAAGGATCCTCATTTGCAGTCAACTTCTCTTTTGATGATGAAAATGTTTCCTGCTCAGCACTGCACACGACTTCAATATTTTGTTCTGGGCTGTTTTTATCTGTGGTTATGTTTGGTGTGACTGCCTCTAAAGCTTCAAATTCTACATGTGACTCATTTACCAAGTTGTTACCCTGTAACCTTCCATCCTGCCTGAGCATCTTCTTGTCATCTCTTTCTGTACTTTGTATTTTTGCTACAGAATACACAGTTGAAGGCTCCTCATGTGGCATGTCACTGGATGACTGTTGAGCCACAGGATGCATGTTTTCTTTGATTTCTTCACTTTGTATGTCAGATTTGTCAATCTCTTCAAGCTTGATTTCATTTCTACAAGGGTTGCACTCTTGCAGATTATTGATTTCAGGAGTTAACATTTCCATTTCACCCTCAGAATTTTTATCATGTGTACTTTCTGAACAGTCCTTAGCTAGTGCAGACACATGACCACTTCCTTGACCGAATTCTTCCTGCTGTTTAAGTTCCACTGCTCGTGGCGTTTGTATTGTTTCAAAGGTTTCATTACCCCTGCTTTTTTCCTCAAGTTCCTTTCCAGGGTTGAGGTAAGGTTCAGTTTCTAAATCATTTACCAACTGCTTTCCTTTACTGCTCCGATTAGACCCAAATTTTCTCCGGTTAAATGTGACCTCTGCTGAAGGTGGATGTCGAGTTTCTGGTTTAGAATCCTCTCGGCTGGATAAAACATTTAAAGATTCAGTACTTTCGTCTGCTGCGTAGCCTTGTGCCACAGAGGAAGCTTCTGTTAAGTGGTACTCATCAGCCTTAGGTACTTCCTTTTGGCTTGGTGCCACTCGTCGTGACCCAAGTCGCTTTTTCTTTGCATTTTGCGAAGACATGACTTGAAATCCTTTCTCCTAAACATGAAATATTCAGTCATGTAATGTATTTGGAAATCAAGTTGCAATCTACAGCATACAAATTTAGAACAGAACACTAAAAGTAGTTGACGGAATATAAAAAAAAAATATTCAAAACAATGCGAGAAACCAATATACATTAACATGTGCACCAAATGTGTTAACACCAAATGTTAGGCAAGCAAGTGAAAACTCTGCCATTAACTTTAAACTGCAACAATTTCATTTACCTAAACATAAGATTGATGAGTTGTGTAAATTTAGCTAAATGTCTTCTACAAAAAAACAAACTTATAACACCACGTGTACTTACCACCGAAATCTGGCAACTCCTCGTGTCACAGCATGAGCTGCTGTGTTATGTCAAGTCATGCCTCTGTTCAATAGGAGTTACATTTCACACATGGGGGTGTGTTTCAATGGCAACTGTGTCAAGCTTCCTGTGTGGGCTACATTTGCAGCAAACTATAGTACTTCCTGAATTTAAAACGAGTTCATTTTCAGCATTTGCCTTTTTAGTTATAGTATATGCAACTATGAAAACAAAGCAAATGTTACAGAAAACTCACCTTGGAAAAACATTTATTGAACAAGATGTTAAACTGTATCAGTACATGTTGTTGGAGCTCAGACATTCAAAAAAAAAAAAAAAAAGAAAAAAAGAAAAGAAAAAAAGAATCTAGTTAATGCTTTCTTTCGCAAAGGAAGGCATTTAAAAAAATTTATTACAGATGATCATGTTTTAGGGATAGACTACAATAACAGCACCATATTTACAGCATTTGTTAAGAGTCTGCTTTTCTGTTACTGGTATGAGAAAAACAAAAAAAAACCAAAAAAACCAAAAAAAACAAACACACCACTCCCTCTATACCATGTCACAGTAACCCGAGCAAGAATAATAAAATAAATAACCAAACCAAAAAAAATAGGAAAGAAAATGAAATGATGACTTTAAACAGGTTTAAAAAAAGTAGTAAAACCAAGTACTCATTTTCAAAGCATGCAGGGCAAGACAGAATTTAACAAAACAAAAAACAAAAAAAACAAAAAAACAGTTTACACCTTTCTTGATCATTCAACAGACCATTAAGACCCTAACATGGCCAACCTTAAATTGCCATGAGCTACCCAACAAAATCTAAAAAGAAATGACTATAAAAATGTACTTTTTTGTAACCATAGCATAAGCCGGTAGATGAGCTTTCCAAGATCTTCATTTCCTCTCATTAGACCGGGAACGACTGTAAAACAAACCAACCAGTGAATAAATGCAAAATTGATGGGGAAAAAAGTTTGTTAGCTTAATATTAAGTTTAAAGTTCAAGAACCATAAATATAAAAATTCTTTTGGTTTACCTCCTAGATCGTGAGAAGGATCTTGAGCGCTTACGGTTCTTCTCTCTGGAAGCAGACCGATATCTGCGTCTATCTCTTGAAACAGACCTGAAAAAATGTTTTTAACGATTTTTATCATTTGCCATAGACAAATGTGTGGCGCAAAAAACAAAAAACAAATGGTGACATGGCTACCTGCTGCGGCTGCGGCTGAGGCTCCGTCTCCTTGGTGATCTACAATGTAGGGGAGGGGGGAGGAGTTAAAAAGAAAATTAAGAAGAAAACATTTTTTAGAAATATTAAGAGAGCATATTTAACATTTCCCATCTCTAATACAACCTTTGAAATTAGTTTTTCTTGATCCCTACAGAAACATGGGTTACATGTGGAAACGTGGTTACACGTACTTCCTGGACTGTTAACAGAATGATCATCTGTATCCATGAACTGGTCAAATGTTTATAAGGAAACTTTGTCCAATGAACACAAATCATGGAGCAAGATATCAGAATGAAAACAAAATCAAGGCTCGGCATTAAGGCTTGTCTGAGAGAAAGACCAAACAAATTATGTGACAGCTTTTTTTCCTTTTTTTTTTAAAACCAAGCATAAAAACATTCTTCAATCACCCATCTACTGTGATCCTCCTTGTGCACAATGTTCCCCAAAAAGTAAAATACCTCCTTTAGCAGCAACACAGGAAAGACTGATTATTTTTGTTTTTTGTTAAAAGAAACTTTGATGTGGGACACATCCTAAGGCAATGAAAAATAGGGTAACCTACAAATAAAAGGGTCTTTAAACAAAAAAACAAAACAAAAAAACCCCAAAGAAACAAAACAAACCAAAAAAAAAAAACCCCAAATTAAAACTGCAAAGAAAAAAGTTTACTTCCTGTGGTTATCACTCAAGATAGCTTAATGTCGAGCCCTGAAAATGCACTCAGTAGAACAATTACAATGAACACCAGATAAATGTAGTTCATTTTTGAAATGGAAATTAAAGAATGGTGGTCAAAATTCCTTGACCGGTTTTTGCAGCACTGCACTGAATTTTCTCCAAATTACATAACTGCTGAAGAAAACTGTCAAGCAGCTATGAAAGCTAGATTAAGCATTAAAACTACAAAGAGCAGGATAAAAGAAACTTACTATTTTTGGGGGAATTGGACAAGATAGAAATGACGCAAGGAAGCCAGACTGATGGTGAGGGAGGTCGAATTGCAGAGAAGATTTGCCACAAGATGCAAATGTTGGAGATATGAAGTTGCCTGGTGGCTGGTTCGAGGGGGTAGTTGTAGATTTTCCCTGCCTTTTTTGGGGGGTGGGGGATGGGAAGGGATGTAAGCCAAGGGCTGTCCCCGCTGATACAGTAGATGTTTGGAGAATAGAAAGAGTAAAGACGCTGATTGGCTGATAATGTGAAGTGGACCGCTGTCGATTGGGTAAAGGTTGGAGGAAGGAGGAGGATGCTGGGAACTGCATGCTCAGGAACCAAAAGCTTGGTGGAACCTGACGACTGGCGGTGCGCCTGGGTCATGTGACAACACCAGCCAAGCTGATTTGGGCTCACTGGTCAGCAGTCACATGATGCTGAAAGAAGACTAGTTGATTGACTCAGATGGTGAGAAGCGTGGTGGTGACTCTGAAACGGGGTTCAGTTTTATTAATAGATGGCAACTGAACTCAGAAAAAAATATAAATAAAATTTACACCTGCAGAATGTAAGTGTAAAAATATTTGATGGGAGATGAAGGGCTAACTATGCTTCTGACGATGTCTTTGTAAAATAATATCACTCTGGCAGAGCTTGTTGTTTCAACAGTTATATTTTAATAAAAGATTTAACCGTTTACATAACCTGCCACTAATATACCCTTGAAATGATAAAACAATGAAAAAAAAATTGTATCAAAATTATTACTTCAATCTTCGTGGGATCAGGGGCCGTATTCACAAAATATCGAAAAGCTTGAATGTAGCTCTCAAGTGGCCAATTAGTAGAAACATGAAAACGAAAAATGAAAAAACTAAACAAAACACTCATCACTTGCTGGGTTGGGGGAGACGGGTTAGAAACTCCAGAGCTCTGTCTTATAGAGCCTGGAAATAATGTGCTTAATTTTGGTGAGAAAGCTGGCAGGACAGGACTTGTTGGATGCGAATTCACCGGGCATTACCCGACTGTACTCACAACAGCACAATCACATGTCCAAAGAATAGTTGAGATCTCCAATTTATGAGCGAAAACTGTAATGAAATGAGTGCCTACTATGTAATGTTTTTTTTCCTCTTTGCTTTAGTCTGGCACTTTTAGTTTGCTTTAAAAAGAAAGTATGACACTTTGTGAATACAGCCACAGATTTTTTTTTTTTAGTTTTTAAAGAAATAAAAAAGGCAAGAACGCTTGAATGCAAGTGTGCAAACAATTTGTTTCAAGCTGTCAGAAACTTGATCCCTTGCTTAGTTTTAGTTTAGACTATGACAAAACTAAAAATAGTCTGAGATGGTAAGGGACTAGATTTTTGCCAATATATTTGGCCATTTAGTTGATCTAAAACTGTTTTGCCAAAGTCAGAAGCTGAAAAATAAGTGTGTATTTAATGAACGTGTGCTTTGTCATTTGTACTCTTATTGAACACTGCAAGTGAGAATGTTGTTTGAAAAGAAAATGTCTACAGATAAATAAAACAGTAAAATAACTGTCAAGTAGGAAATGCATACCTGCGTCTAACAGGAGGACTGCGTCGCCTAAAATCATCTCGAGGGTATCGGCTCCAGGATGGAGGAGGGCCACGGCTCCTGGAACGCTTTTCTCCAGTGGATAACTCAACGCGTACTCGACAGCCACACATGGTTCTAAACAGAAGTCAACAAATGAGCAGAAAGCAATGCAAAAATCAAACACAACTACTAATAAGTGTAGCATGTTGAAGAAGCTACCTGCCATCCAATTCTCTCACAGCATCTGAGGCATCTCTGGGATCTTCAAACTCTACAAAAGCAAAACCTGGGGGATTCCTGGCAACCCAAACACTTCTTAGAGGACCATAGTAACCAAACGCTCTTTCTAACTCCGTCTTATTTCCATTGTTTCCCAGATTCCCGACATAAACCTTGCAGTCGAGGGGACAGTCTCGATGAAAAGCAGGGTCTTAAAAGTGACAGAAACACAAACACACATCAAACAATGAAGTAGAACAAATTATGTATCATTCATCAAAAATGTGCAAATTAAATGTAAATTATAGTTAACCTGCTTTAAAATATTTCATTTTTCTATGCTGACTAATCCAAAGCCCCCCCCCCTCTCTCAAAGTTTTCTGATCTACTGTACATAGCCTTACTTTAAAAGACTTCAATTTTTCTGCATCCAACCATGGAAAATAAAGTCAACTAATGCCATTCCTTGTTTAATTTTATTTCACCAATTTTCAACTTCTTTTTCTTTTTATTGAAAAAACAAAAAACAATCAAGCAAAAAAAAAAAAAAAAAGCTGGGGTGAAAGCTCAGTCTACCGCCCTGCATCTTCGACTGTCCACAGTAAGAGCTTAAAGTGCTGTGAGTACTACTATCATGATAGTGATGAAGCCACATGTAACTAGAGTGTGAAAAAAAAATTTGACGAGAAAGCATGAGTCCACCATGACACAGAACAAACAGTGGTTGTGGTTTGTAAAAACAAAAAAAACATGTGCTTGCACGAGCAGCTGAACTTAAACACACTGCAACCAATACACAAAACACATGTAGCAGGTTAATTCAGTAAATGTTTTTGTCTTCTTTAACTTCTTGTGTAATGTGCACATATTTAGAGAATATAATTTTTTATTGACAAACTCATTCATTGGAGTCACCATCTGTTAGCTTTGCAGTGTTTGAATTAGGGGCTGTGTCCAGCAAAGTACTTTTTGCCTGACGATAATGCTAGGCCATCCTCTGAAAATGTCCAGCTGGGAATACTTGAGAGCACTTAGAAGTCACCGCACATTTTCAGCACAGACAATTTGGTTGCTATGATACATAACATCTACTTTACCTGACTGCTACTGACCTGGTGAACGAACTGTTCTTCTAGGCCTTTATATTTAACATCAATATTGTGGTAGACATAGATACTCAGAGAAGCAACATTCACTTCTCATCCATTGTTGCTCAGATGGTTGTCAGCATGTGTTCAATGGGAAAGCCTGTCAGCATGGCATTTGTCCCAGTTCTGCTTGATGGGGTTAAAAGTGACAAGCACAGCTTTCTACCAAAAGTTCCAGATCTTAAGGCCTGGCAACCAGTAAAACAACCCAATCACAAAGCTTGGGAGAGATGCTCAGTGCCCCATCGCTGCTGGCGTTTTAACAATACATGCCACTCCTATTCCAAGCAATTCCAAGAACATTGCTCTTAGGAACCACGCTGGCCTCAGGAAAAAATACTTTGGTCTTTGGACACACCCCTTAAGTTCACAAATACTGTAATTCTTTTAAAGTCACTTAGCATGTCCTGTGTTGTTTCATGGGACACCAGGGCACCTCCCTAGTGCAAAACAAAGCAAGAAAAGCTACACGACTAACTTTCTGAGTTGTCATACCTCCCATTTCAAATTTCTTCTTGTTTAAGTCCAACACTCTGTTATCCCTGAAAAGAAAAAACAAAACAAAATTACAAGAAACAGTTACAGTCAAACAGCTCTGAGAACAGTTAATCTATGGCCCCATTTAAAGCTACCTAACTGGTATCAGTGAATTGTTATATTTGCATTCACTTTGCAGCACTGCAAAGCCTTTTCTAACAAAGAGTCTCATTCAGGTTTATACATGACTGGGTTGCTTATAATTGCAGTACCTACACAGGATTTTTTAAATATTTAACAACCGCACACTAAAAAAAAAAAAAAAAAAATTCAAAGCCAACGCATTTCTTTTTGGGGGTGGGGCGGGGGTCTCTTTAGTGCTTTTCGGATGAATGGTGAATAAAACTATGTTGGTTAATTGGTCAGAGGTATATAATACAACAATAAGCTAGAAAATGGGGTGGCTTCTATTAGCAGACTCCTGAGCCTTAAAACTGGCTATACATTTCCAGGCTAACAGCACCAAAAATAGTTCGCTTTAGCTTGATTGTTGACGGGTAACATTAAAATTGGATTTTAGTTCATCTAAAAATACATTTCCTCTGAATATTACAAATTACTTTTGAGTCCAACTTTTAATCCGAACGATAATGCAGCAAAGTTTTCCACCCCCCTCCAAAACCAACCATGCGAGCATTAACGTTACGCTAGCAAATTTAGCATTTATTACCGCGAAACGATTTACAAAAGAATTCGTCGCGATGCGAATCTGAATCCTAGCTGAATTCACACGAGAAACGTGTGGAAGACCGAACCTACTTTCCTGTATGGAATACAACTCACCTTTTTACAGCTAAAACTCAACAAAAAACCGCTTGCAGAAGATTTCACGCCGCTCGTTTGAGCAGCAGGCCTAGCCTGTTAGCTTATTAGCGCCTCGAGTAAAGCGGAAGACCGAGGGGGAAAAAAAGAAAAAGCCCACTCTTCTTCTGCGTGTGTAAAACGCCATTAAAACACCGATAAATGTCTATACTGCCACCTACTGTACCAAAGTGGAATGTCTGCCACAACACATTAAACTGGCAAACGTGTGAGATCTTCACCCAACTTTTATGACAGAAAAATGTAACCAGAGAAAGTTTATAACATTTTAGGTGACTGAATTTTTTAAAAAGCGCATTTACTTCCATCATCACATCATTATATTTAAATATTACTGTTATATTTGTTACTTCATGGGATAATCAAGGTATAATAAAGTGAACCAAGCTGCTATTAGTCTAAGGAGCGACTGGACTTTTTTTTTGGAAGTTTTGTGAAGACGTTTCACTTCTCATCCAAGAACCTTCTTCAGTTCTAAAAGCTGCTATTACATTGAGTAAAACTTCATAATCCCTTTTAGTCTACTTTGGCTATAGGTAAACCTATCCCTGCCCCGAGCCACTTTAAATTATATCTACACTGTTAAAAACAAACTCAAAGCAAGCTTATTTGTAAAGGGCATTGTTTCATTTATTCATAGAGGTCAAGTAAAATGTACAACCATCTAAAAAAAGGGGATACAAGTTGAACTAGTAAAACTATAGCCTAACTTTACATTTAAAGTATGTGCACCATGTACTCTATATACCGCAATAACACTTATTTTTTGAAATGATCTAAGAAAAAAGTGTTATAACTGTGGAGACAGACAGTGGGTTTTCTGGCCAGATGTCATACTCTTGCTTCTGTCTTCTTACTGGTGCTTTTCTTTTCAGACCTTATCTGTGCTACAAGGCTGAAGATTTTTTTAACATCTGTTCTTGTTCCTGTGTCCTGTAGCCGGTAATCTTTTTCAGATATTTACTGCAATACTAGATTTCCCCTGTGTAAACACGTAAGGCTCTTCTGCCTGAAAAAATATCTTCCTTTCTTCTGCCATGTCAAGCTAACCTTTGAAAAAATAAAATGTCAAGATGTTCTTATTATTGTGACATTTTAAACCCCATCACCTCATGGAAAAAAGAAAAAAAAACTTTAGAGGTGTTCAATGGAAATAACTGAAACTTTTATTTAAACATCTTTGACTAATTATTTTCAAAGCACAAATGCTATCAGAGGAATTGCAGTGATATCTATAAATGAACACAGGCCATTTTTCCACATACATAGAGTACATATACATTAAACACATATTAGGACATATTAGAGCATTTACTCAAGAAAAAAAAATTATAATGCTTGTATTGTACTTAAGTGTTTCCATTTTATGCTGCATTACACTTCTACACCACTCTAATTTAGTGTTTGTGAGTTGTGTTGTAGCCCTACAACAAAAAAGGATTTTACACTGTTTCCTTCAAACTCTTGATGCTTTAGTGATGTAACACTTGCTTGAAGTAATTCAAATATGTGTAGCAATTCTCGTTTCTTCCTTTATTTACCCCCCTTTTCAAGCATCTAACAAACCCCCGGCCTTAACTATGACCCTGACCTTTTGACTGTCCTCAGATTTTTAAAGAGAAATTTGATTACCGTCTTAACGTTTGGCTGCAGTAATCACTATTATGATAAGAAAAGGCACAGACTCAAGCATGAAGCCCACTGTCTAGATAAAAATTCACTGCAAATGTTTTTGCTGTGGCGCATAAAATGTAGTCATAGTACAGATACGATGTTTTCTATGTTCTGTGACAAGAATCGCACAGTTTGCTCAGTTTGACCTTAAGAAGATAAAGCAGTGCAAAAACAGCTGCCTGCCATTTAGTAGTTACATAGGAACAAAAGTAAATCAACAGACAGGGCTATTGCTCAACACATGCGACCTCTTAGAAGCACGCAGGTGGGTGGGTAGATAATGTATGTACACTTCCCGTATAGAGGCGCATTCAAGACGTAGTGTGGAAAAGGGGGAAGAGTTGTGTAACAGAAGTCTTCATGCATTTCTGACCATGAGGCTTAACTCAGGTCACAAAGGGGCACAGTCAGAGAAAAATTAGCAGCTCAGTCTTTATTTATTGCACGATGGATGGATAAATAGGGAACTCTGTTTTGCTTGTTCTCCATCGTTATGTGTAACTATATTTGTCTTTAATTAGACACATATTGGAGACATTAATGTTTCATTTAAACTTGTTGCGAAACACCCTGATTTGTATCCCATTCTGACACAGTTTGTGATAACGGTGTTGGGATTTAACCGTCTAACATGTCTGGATAAAGCCAATTGGATTCAAATTAGTTTTTGAGCAATTAGTCATTTCAACCTCATGCTTTTGGTTAATGATTGCCTGACGTGACAGGTTAAATTGCTGTGTACTAAACTTCTTAGTAATTGATACCCTATGTAATAATTAAGAATAATAACCCTTATTACCACAAGTTTGTTGAGCGGGGGTATCACTACTTTAAACTTTTTTTTACTGAACTGGGCTCTAAGGAGGTCAGGAGGGAAACTATTTAGTGGATGGCAAATGGTTTACAATAACTTCATGTAGAGCAGAGTGGTTTGTGGGAATCCAAATTATGATGACATTGTGTCAGTGACAACAATCTGATCATAAATGTTCAATGAACGTGAGAAAATGCAGAAAAGACCACAGAGCGTTGTCATTGGATCATTGGATGCCCTGTGCATAAACAGATATACTCAGCAGCCATTTTATTAGGTACGCATAGCTCAAAAGTACACTCTGTCCCCACAGTCCCATGATGAAACATCCTTTCATAAAGCAAATAAGGGAAGTTTTGACTCTGTGTTATGATTCATTTAAATGTCGCAGCTGGTTTTATTACACTGACAGGTGTTTCTGTCACTTCGTTCATTGATATAAATTCAGTGAAATGCAGAAACCTATTTGGGATTTTTAATATATAAAAAAATGAAATAAAATAAAATCTCCTTTACAGTTGCATTCTGTTTTTGGGATTTAAATCGGATATTTCCTGTGGCAGTTTACTTAGAACACATCCAAATACTGTGTGAAAGCCCTGATGTAAAAAAGTGTTCAGCGGATTTCAAATGATTTCAAAAAGGTTTCATTTTCTCCGAGACTCAAAACAAACCATTAAGCTCCTGTTTTTCTTTTAAGTCAAAAACAAAAAGAAGTTAAAAATCTTTCAGGACAGTTATACAAAGTGATAAATGTCAGACATAACATAAAACACACCAAAACTGAACTATGCTGACAATAAAACACAACCTTTTAAGGTCATCATGTTGACATGATGAAAATAGGACTGCTGTTATTCACTGCCCCATTTCTCAGTCGTTTATTCAGGGCCCTTGGCAGACACAACAGTAAAGAACTCTTGCTTTTGGTGGGGTGGGGGGGCAAAAGTTCAGGGATAAAAGGGATCACTCGGGAGATTACTCCCCTGTACGTAACACGGATGCCTAGAACACAAACAAAGAGCATTATGTTGCTCAGCCTGTAGCTGCAGAGCGCATGTTTGTGTGAGAGCAAGTGCTTCTTTAACCTCACCCTCCCATTTGCCTTTTGCTTTACCAAATGAAGCATTAAGCTGCCTTTGTTTTTCCGTGTATATATTCCCCTGCTGCCATAGGGTTCTCCTTGTAGCTATTTAAATGAATCATCTCTTTTTTCAAGCATCCACTCAGCACAGTGTTTTTCAATCAGATTAGTACAGCACATTCTGTTCTGTTTCACTTCCTGATGACTGTGCAGCCCGTATCCCAGAATGAACTCACCCGCGTGCTTCTGGTTACACCAAGATACTCATTCAGACAGATGGATTCTTGCAACTGCCTGTCAGATTTTTGTACTTTACACAGTATTTAGCAAAATCTGTTAGACACCTATCAGATTTGCTGTTTACTGTTTTGTTTTAGCAAAGATTAAATGACTTTCCGATGCAAAGTGATAGGTAAGTAGCAGTAAGAAGGCCACAAAGTTCTAAAAATAAGTTACAACTGCATGTATGTCCCCATTATATTTATATAAAACAGCCACAGACCATTGATGTAACCTTTGACCATCTAATTTTCATTTGTCTTCTTCTTCTTCTTTTTTTCTCGCCTGCCTGGTGGCTTTCACCAGAACAGAAACAAGATGTTCTTGATGTTTCAGGAAGGAAAACAACATCTCAAGCCATGTGTCACTATACATATCTATTCATGCATCTCAGTTTAGCCCAAGCCTGTTTAGTTCATTTTGACCTCCAGTTAAGCATTACAGTGCTGGGGAAAAGAAGACAGACAAAGCAACCAGGACACCACGGTTCACGAATTTTGGTAAAACAAACAAACCAACCTTTGACCGTGCATGAGGCAACCATCCTGACATGGTGTTTTATTTTAGATAATCAGTACTATTATTTTAAGGGTTTCATGCGGGCAGTGACACATAGTGAGGTTGTGTTTTTACATCACATGACAACATCTTTCTGTTTCTGTGCGGGGTTTTTTTTCTTTAAATGTGAATAACATGTTCTAAAACACATGTGTGTGAAAGCTACTTTCTTCCGATAACCAGATGCTCAGAAGATTACTCACGCCAGCTGACAATATCCCTGTTGCGTTTGCAGAGTCAGGTTCACTTGTGTTATGTCACCTATATAATTAACAGGATCATCATGTTCCCTCTCAATAGCAGCTTGCTGTCTGCCAGCAGTGTGGTCAGACAGTATCCTTACCACCTATAATGGTGGGATTCATCATCTAGAGAGACGAGGCTCTTTGAGCATCTCGGTTCTATAAAGGAAAGTTTTCCTCTCGCTGTCTGACACGAACAAATTTTGGTTAACTTCTCGTTAATGATTCAGTCATAACATTAATTCGAGGCATATTTTATAGTTTTTAATACAACAAATGTGATAAACATAGACACAAGAAGCAGCCATAAAGCATGTCATATTTTCAGCACTGTTTATTGACATATTAATGCCAACATCCTCAACCGCAAAAGCACAAAAGCAAGGCCATAAAAACCTTTTATTACCATGGATTTTAGCTTCTCTTATCCCCAAAGTAAATGT